GTTCTATAACCTTGCACAAACAGTTTCACCTCCCTGGACCTCATTTTCTTTATAAAAGACTATGGAGTTGTTGGTAGAACTCATTTGCGAGGTTTGTTGTGAGGGATGGGTGGTATTTTAGCCTTGTGGGTAAGGTTCTGGAACGAGACAGACTGGAGGTCAAGTCCCAGCTCCACCACTTTTTACTGTGTGACTTGGGTCAACTAATTTCACCTCCCTGAGCTTCAAGTTCCGAACCTCTCTGTAAAATGAGGCTAGTGGAGCCTGCCTCACAGAGTGGATGGGGGAATTAGGTGGGTTAATGATACAGTCTGCACGTGGGCAGCACTTGGGAAATTGCTACTACTGTTCTCAGCAGACCTTTTCCCAAAACAACTACCACCATGTATGGAGTGCCCAGTGGCCCAGTGGCCTGTGCACTCAGGCTTCCTAAATACGCAAGGCAATCGGAAGGGGTAGTTCTGTTGTAATTCTCATTTTACAGCGGGGGGGTGGGGGAGGAGCAGTGGAATTTCAAGAGATTGCTGTGCGCCTTGCTCCCCCAGGATCTTAGAGCTGAGAGTAGAGTCCAGACCACAGCCCTCCCTCCTTCCCTGTCCCACCATGTCACAGAGCTGACCCATTTCCTCAGCCCTCAAACAGCCTCCACTAGGGAAGTTCCTTTGTGGTCCACTGCTTACAAAGGCCCTTACTCTGTCCCAGCTCAGCTGTTTCACAGCACCCTGGTTTCCTCCCCACCCTTTACAGCCGAGTTACAGCCAGCCACCCTACAACCAGGGAGGTTACAGCCAGGGCTACACGGCCCCACCACCTCCACCTCCACCACCACCTGCCTACAACTATGGGAGCTATGGCGGCTACAACCCGGCTCCCTACACCCCACCGCCGCCCCCCACCGCACAGACCTACCCTCAGCCCAGCTATAACCAGTATCAGCAGGTAGGTGCCAGACTTGGGGTGGGGGAGCAGGGGGAGGTTGGGCATAGAGACTTACGGGGGCACCCGCATGGATGTGTATTCCCAGACTGGAGTCCCTATTTATTCCTACAGAGATGGGCTGGCCTCAGGCTGGCATTCACCTGATGTAGCCGTTCCACTTACTGAAATTTCTGCACTGGCTGCTAAATAACTGGTATCCGAACCTCTTCTCCCCGGTGAAGCCACTAAATGGCCTAGCAGGGGCCTCCGAATCCTGCTTCAGCACCATGGCCAGTGTCCATTCCCCTTGGCTGGTGCTGGGCCATCATACCTGTTGTTAAGTGTTCTGAATGTGGTATCTACCTGTACCCGAAAGGACATTAGGTTGGCAAGCCAGGAGGTCTGGGCTTCAGTCCCTGACTCCCCAGCCATGGGGCATCAGGTCGGTCACTTGTCCTCCCAAGGGACCTTGGTTTCTCTGTCAGGGGACCCATGTCAGTGCACTCATCTCTGACCTGCGCGAGAGTGGGGTCAAGGCAGGAGCCAAATGTGGGTCTGGGTAAGGACAACGTGGTGCTCTTGGTTTCTCTCTCCAGTACGCCCAGCAGTGGAACCAGTACTATCAGAACCAGGGCCAGTGGCCACCATACTACGGGAACTACGACTACGGGAGCTACTCCGGGAACACACAGGGAGGCACAAGCACACAGTAGCCAGTGTGCTCCGGAGGCCCCTGCCGGCTTCCTCCACCAGCGCCCACCTTGGCCCCCTCGTCTGCCCACACTGGGTCCTGCGGTGCCGGGGGACGGGTTATCCCAGGGCTGCCTCCTTTCAGCCCACTGCCTCCCCTCCGAGGGGCTTCTTCCCCAACACAGGGCCGGGCATTTTTCTCTGGATTCAAACAGGCAACAATGACCTTTTATTTTCTGTTGTCCCCTCACCTTCTTCCTTCCCCTCCTCCTCTTCTTCCTCCTCCCTGCCTCCTTTTTGACTAAAGATCCCCGCCCCTGGTCATACAGTGAGGCTACAGTGGCTGAGGGAGGGCCCCTTCTGCCCACCTCTCCCAGCCCTGCTCCAGCCCCTCAGCTTCCCAGACCCTCATGCAGTTGGTTGTACATTCTTCCAGGAGCTGTTTTACTGTCTACTTTTCAGGATTTAAAAAAAAAAAAAAAAAAAAAAAAATCAAAAACTAAAAAAAAAGAAAAAACAGACCGACACAAAAACCCAAGTTTAAAAAGTAAAATGCAGAGGGAGGAAGCAGTGACAGATATTTTTTGGTAATTATGCTTTTTTTTTAATTTTTAGAATTTCTCTGTTTTTACTGTGGCTGTTGATATTTCATCAGGATAACCATTTCTTTGCTGAGTTCAGGTGACTGAGGAAGAGCCACACCCTCAAAACAAAACACACACAAAAACAAAACCACAGAATCATCTTTAACCTAACTTTTTATACGATGTCTCAGTTTCCCCGTAACCTTGCACACAAGCTTCTGTGTTGAGTTGAATTGTAACTGCTTTTTGTATTTGGAGAGAGTGTGACTATTGAACTTGAAACCTTTTATTCCGGGCGTCTTGGTAGTTTCTGGTGGGATTAAGCGGGCGAGGGAAGAAGGGGAGGTTGCGGGTGGGGGGGCTCCTTCCCTTCAGAACATGAAATTTCTCCCACCGCCTCCTCTCCAGAGATCTTCCAGGTGCCAGACCTAAAGGTTTTTCCTACAATGATCCTTTGATTATTTTTACTCCCCCTTGACCCATATGTTTTAACAGAATTTTAACAAACTGCACTTATTAAGAAATGTGTTTGCTTTGTTTTGTTTTCTTTCAATAAATGACATGGCACCTCCTAGCAGGAACGAAGCAGGGTTGAAACCCTGAAGTATTACTGCAGTTGGCCTTTAATTGGGGTGGGACGTTTTCAGAGGGGACATTATTTACTCATCCATTAAACACTTACTGAGGGTTTCATGTGCCTGGCCCTGTTTTTGGTGCTGGGACTCTCAGTTTAAAATCCACTTTCATTTTAAAGCAGTTCTCTGGTCCTTCCTCTTGTCCATTCACAGCCCCAATTCTCTCCAGGAATTTGTGACTAGAAGGCATGGCAGGTCCCTAGGCGGAGGGTGAGGTAGGGCTGATGGGATGGGGACCAGGGCTGGATTGTTGGGCGTCCTCATGGGGTGTGACTGCCCATCCACCTCGGTCCTGGCCTTGGGTGCTGGACTTAGGACGTGTCCTACCTGCAGTCCTGGATCCAGGCTAGTGGGGATTCCAGGAACTTCTTTATCCAGCCACTATGTGTTAGGTACTTGCCTTGTGCCTCACTCTCTCTGGACAGTGCTGGGGATACAGCACAGTCAGGGCAGTCCTGAGCCCGGCTCTCACGGGTCTCCCAGTCCAGAGGTAACACAGACTTGCCATCAGATGGTGACAGCACTGAGTGGTCAGCTGTGAAAGCCTGAGGGTTAGGAGTGTAGTAAGGGGAGGTCTTCTGGAAAAGGGAACAATTTTTTAAGTAGCCAGGGTAGTTTGTGTTTGCATCCCCATGTAGCCTAGTGTCCTCTCCCGGCAACGAGTCATTTCTTTATCCCCTCTGGATATGTGGTGTTCCCAGTGATATTGTGAGGGCCAATGCTGGGGCACAGGAGTGCCAGTTGAGCCCCATCCCTTGCCTAACAGGAAGTACCTCAGAGCCTTATGAATGGGACACAGGCTGCAAAAAGAGGAGGAAGGCTGACTAGTTTTGAGGTCAGGGATGAGGCATCTGAATGTGAGATGGAGCCAAAATTGGTGGCTAGTTGGGCTAAAAGGGACCCTAGAGTGCCCCTCTCTGCCTGCTCAGGGAGAGCGGGAGGGGAAGGGCCGCAGATCTCTCTGGAAAGTCCCCTTCCTTGCTGGTCCACATGTTGGGCAACAGCACCCTCTGCTGGCTTCTCTGAGTAAGTTCTTAAATTTAGTTCCCACCCATCCGGTGTGGCAAATGGGCCTCTAGGTCCCTTATCCTGGCAATGCAAATGGGAAGTTATTTCTCTGCTCCTGTCCAGTGTCTGGATCATTGCACCAGCCTCCTCACCGATCTCCCTTACCTCCAGTCCCTTACCCTCATGCTTTCCCCCTCCTGCCTGCTACCCGAAGGATAAAGGAACTCAAGCTACTTAGTGTGGCTTAGAGAGGCCCTGTGTGCCTGACCCCTGGTGACCTCCCTGGCTTCATATTCTGGTGCTCCCCCTTTGAACTTAAGATTGGTGGTTGGTTCTGGGGGAGTCACAAATCTCTCAATCCAAATGCCATCAGCTCTGCTTTGGAAAATACACGTGTACATGGAATTTTGCATAAATATTCAAGAGGTTCTCAAATACTCTGCAGCCCAACCGTGGCCTTCCAAGTTAGAACATTTTTATTCCCTGACCACACTGAAGTCCTTGGCAGTAGCCAGAAAGATCCATGCCTGCCTTCCCCTCTGGGTCTTTGCCTTGCCCTTCCTGCTGCCTGAAACCTTCCTCTTTAATTCCTGCTCATCCTTTAGGTCTCAGCTTGGGTGTCCTCTCCTCCTAGAAGGAAACCTTTCCTGACCCTCTAGGCTGGGGTGGACAACCCCATCAGAGCCCGGGCCACTCAAGGGTGGTCACTTGTGATATGTCTGTCGCTTTGTTGGTAACACACCTGAATGAGTCACTACCATCACCTGGAGTAGATCATGACCAGGGTTGTCCCCGTTCACATCTGCAAATTCTTCAGGTCCTGGAACACAGCAGGAAATTCTATCTGAGCTCACCACCCATCTCATGCTAGCCAGGGACTGGCTTTGATCACAGAAGCAAGAAACAAAGCTTAGTAGATATTTTTTGAGGTGGTGACGGAAAAGGGGGATGGATTGGAGTCTAAACCAGAGCACAAACCCTCAAGAGGCTCTGCGCGGTGGCCATTCAACCATCCGTCCCAAAAGTAAGCATGCCAGGCTCTGGAGTCCCAGCAGTGAACAGGTTGTACGATAGTTCAGATCCCTCCCGATCGTGCAATTCAGTAGCGGGTCAGATGGGGGTGGGGGGAGGGCGTGGAAGAGCCTCTAACTCGGGTGTCCTTTACGTTCCCGGCGGCGGGACCTGAGGGAGACACGCATGCGCATAGGAAGGTCCACCTTCACCCCGGAACTGTTGTTTCGGGCTTGGCGGAGCATCGGGCCCCCCGGAGTGTGCTCAGCCGGAAGTGGCCGCCGAGGGCCTGGGGCCGGGATCGGCCTGTAGAGCCTACCGCGGCGGCTAACTAGTAGAGATTCAGGATGGAGGCCGTGGCCACCGCGGCGGCGGCCAGGGAACCCGATGAAGGTGAGGTCCCGGCCGCGCGGAGGCGGCGGGAGGGTGGGGTGCGGTGTCACTGGGAAATGATTCCCCGTGGGCGCACAGGAGGACTCTTTATAGGGGGACACCTGCCCTCGGGTCTACCAGTCCCCTTCGCCACCTTGTCCAAATTAATCCTTCTCTTGTTGCGAGTTGCCGTCCTTTTACCCCGTCTTCTCCCCCGAAATTAACCTCTCCCAAGTTCCGGGCCAGGCTGACCCGATTCCTTACCAGGCTAACTCTCGGGTCAACATAGACTTGCCCCCTGTCCCGGCTGAGTCCCAGTGTCCCAGTCCACCCTGCCTCTCAGTTACCTCCCCTGCATCGCACTGACCCTCCCCTCGCCCCAGGCTGACCTTCCTCCTGTCCCACGCAAACTCTGCTTATTCCAGGTTCACGGTTCCCCCATTTCATTCTCATTCCCCTTTCTCCGCAGTCCACAGTGCCATCTGCCTCCTCGGGTCCTTACTCCATTTCTGTGCTCCCTCCATTACTCCCCTTTGCATTTTCAGTCTCCTTATTTCTCCCGACGCCTTCCCATCAGTATCTAAAACGCTTTCGTTTTGCTCATCTTAAAATTTCATCCCGCTGCTTCAGAGTCATCCCAGGTGGGTCGAGGTGTGGTTGGGAGATTGGCTGAAACGTCCCTGGCCAAGCGTTGGTCATTGTTGAAGCTGGATAGTGGGGATATGGGGTGGGAGGGGGAATATGGTCCTCTTCTCGACATTTGTGCATGTTGGAAATTTTCCATTAAAGAAATGTTTTAACCTGGGGCGCCTGGGTGGCTCAGTCGGTTAAGCTTCTGCCTTCGGCTCAGGTCATGATCCCGGCGCCCTGGGATCGAGCCCCACATCGGGCTCCCTGCTCAGCAGGAAGCCTGCTTCTCCCTCTCCCACGCCCCCTGCTTGTGTTCCCTCTCTCACTATCTCTCTCTGTCAAATAAATAAATAAATAAAATCTTTAAAAAAAAAATGTTTTAACCTAAAAAGAATATCTATCCCTCAGTTCCATGCGCCTTCCGATACCAGTTATCTTCTCCAAAGAGTCATTCACACCTGTCTGTTTCTTCACCTCCCACCCACTTGCAGTCTGGCTTTTACCTCCAGAAACTGCTCTAATCAAGGTTGCCAGTGGCCTCTCCGCCCCACCCCACCCCCGCCCCGTGTAGTTAAACGGGGTCACCCCATTCAGGTTTTCTCTTACTAGACTACTTGGAGAGTTCAGTGCCATTGATCTCCCCATACTTCTTGAAAGTTGTCCCTTGCTTTTTTTTTCTTTTTAAGATTTATTTATTTTAGAAAAAAAGAAAGGAGAGAGTGGGGGGAGGGGCAGAGTGAGAGAATCTTCAAGTGGACTCCCCATTGAGCAAGGAGCCCATAGCCCGACTCAGCTCCATCTCAAGACCCATGAGATCATGACCTGAGCCGAAACCAAGAGTTGGACGCTCGACCTACTGAGGCACCAGGTGCGGCCCCCCACCCCTTGGTTTCTGTGACACCACTCTTTCCCTTTCCCTTCCTCTCTCTCAGGCTCCTCCTGATCAGCCTCGATCAGTTTTCTGTGGCTGCTGCAGCAGGTGACAAGCTGGGGGGCTTAAAACAAGAGAAATGTATTCTCAGTTTTGAGGGCCAGAGGTTTGAAATCGGTACCACAAGGCTGAAATCAAGGTGTTAGCAGGACCAAGGAGGGGCTCCCTCAGAGGCTCTTCCAGCTTCTGGTGACTCCTGGCGTTCCTTGGCTTGTGGCCACATCACTCCGATCTCTGCTTCTGTCTGTCTTCACGTGACATTCTCTTCTGTGTATGTCTAGTCTCACTTGGACTCTCTCTTAACGGATACTCATCATGACCCACCTGGACAATCCAAGATAATCTCCCTGTCCCAAGATCCTGAACTTGATCACATCTGCAGACACCCATTTTTTGGCCATCAACAGTAACACAGGCTCCAGGAATTAAAGCGTGGCTGTCTTTTCGGCGGCCCATTCTGTAGCCTTGCGTGGCCTCCTTCCTAGGCATGGCTTCTCCCTGTCCCGTCGGGGCTCTTTCCTAGTCCACTCTTCTCTTGTCCCTCACACTCCCCTTGCCCTCCCCATGACCTCTCATTTCCTTCGGCTTTGGTTCCTGTCTTGGCTCCATAGCTCTGTCCCCAGCCCTGCACTTTTCTCCTGAGAAGTCTCTAGCCCCACGGACCAGCAGTCTCTTAGATGCTCCCCTTGAATGTCCCCTGGGCCCGTCCTACCTTCCATGTCCCAAACTGGCCTCAGCATCTCCTCCCATCCCCAAATCTGCTCCTTGTCCGTGACTGTCTCAAGGACAGTTTGACTAGTCCCCAGACCTGAACCCCGGATCTGAACTGGATGCATCCCTCGCCTCCCAGCCCTTCAGCCCCATGGCTTGTCTACTCAGCCTCCTGAGCATCCTTCTAACTACCACCCCTTCCTATGCCCTCCCCCACACCCTCTGCCCTGGTCCAGCCCAGTCTTCTCTGGTCTCAGTGATTAAAACCCTCCCTGAAACCCACTGCACTTGTAACCCTCACCCCCTCCCTCTTCTCCGTCCCAGCCAAGCTGCCCAAAGGAGTTGCCTGTACTTTGTCTTCTCTTATTTTCTGGCCTCTCAGCCTCACTCCAGTTCCCACACCTTTTGAGAAACAGTTCTCGACAAGGTTTGCCTAGCGCCCAGCTTGCCTGTTACCAGCGCCCGTGTTGTCTTTGACGGTCCTAGCTCCCCCATCACACTGGCTGTTCCGAGGGCAGGTGTTGGACTGGCTCACTCCTGTGGATCCTCAGCACGGCCCAGCTCAGGACATCACACAGATTTAGAGTTGCTGAAGAGTGGCTGGATGAATGTGTGAATGAGTAGGAGAGAGAGAGAGGGAATGAGTGAACAATTTGTGGATGTGTTAGTGATTTTGTGTGCAAGTAAAAAGGCAAAGAATTGTATGAGTTAGTGAATGAGGTGGTAAAGGACAAGTAAACGCACCAAGCACCCTCCTGCCTCAGGGCCTTTGTACTGGCTGTTCCCTTTCCATAGACCTCTCTTCCTCCCAGAATGTCATGGCTCAGTCCCTCACCACCTCAGGTCTCTACTGAAATGTCACTTTTTTGGCAAGGTCTTCTCTGACTGTCCCATTTAAAATTGCAGCCTGGGAGGGGGGGGGGGCGCCTGGGTGGCTCAGATGGTTAAGCGTCTGCCTTCAGCTCAGGTCATGATCCCGGGGTCCTGGGATCGAGCCCCGCATTGGGCTCCTGGCTCAGTGAGGAGCCTGCTTCTCCCTCTGCCTCTCTCCCTGCTCATGCTTTCTCTCTCTGTATCTCTGTGTCTCAAATGAATAAATAAAATCTTTAAAAAATAAATAAATAAATAAATAAATAAAATTGCAGCCTGGGGCGCCTGGGTGGCTTAGTCAGTGAAGCATCCGACTCTTGGTTTCGGCTCAGGTCATGATCGTGCGGTGGTGGGATCGAGCCCCACGTTGGGCTTGTGCTCAGTGCGGAGTCTGCTTCAGATTCTTTCTCCCTCTCTCCCTCCTCATCTGCCCCTCCCCTTTCTATCTCAAATAAATTAAATTAAATTGCAGCCTTCCCCCACTGACCCCACTCCCCCCTCCTTCCCTCTTCATTTTTCTACACAGCTCTCGGAACCACCCAACAGACTGTATGTTTGCTAACACATCATATGTTTTCAGTAATTATGTTTTTCACGGTCCACGTCCCCTACTAAAATGTCAACTTTGTGCATCCTGTGGTATCTCTGGGACCTAGAACAGTGCCCAGGACATAGTAGGTGATCGGGAAACGTAAAATGAGTCTTTTCCACCCACCCCACCTCCCCCACACTCCCATCCCAGGACTAACACATCTCCCCTTCCCCCACAGGCTGCACACAGCCCGGTACTGGGCACTGGGGGGAGCTGAGCTGGACACCGGTCCCACCCAGACCCCAGGACAAGGTGGAGGCTGCAGAAGGAGCGCCAAGGGCCCCAGATGATGACACCCCCGGGGCTGAGAACGCGGCGGTGAGTGCCATGCTGCGCGCCGTGGCCGCCAGCCGCCTGCCTGTGTGCAGCCAGCAGCAGGGCGAGCCTGACCTCACCGAGCGGGAGAAGGTGGCCATCCTGGGCCAGCTGTACCATGAGAAGCCGCTGGTGTTCCTGGAGCGCTTCCGCACGGGCCTCCGCGAGGAGCACCTGGCCTGCTTTGGCCACTTGCGCGGCGACCATCGTGCAGACTTCTACTGTGCCGAGGTGGCCCGGCAGGGCAGTGCCCGACCCCGCACCCTGCGCACCCGCCTACGTAACCGGCGCTACGCTGCCCTGCGTGAGCTCATCCAAGGTGTGAGGACAGGTGGGCTGGGCGGGCGGGGAGACTGAGGCAGAGGAAGTAAGAAACAAGGATGCAAGAGCGGAGACACGGACAGAGGTCCTGGAGATAAGTTTTGAGACAGGGACACAGGGAGGTGGAAACAGACACGTGAAGCAATGAGGCAAGATGGGTAGAGACGGGGACCCAGGGGAAGGGACCGGCAGTGAGAAGGGTCAGAATTAGTAGATGACACAAGTGCCATCTCACAGAACCCAGCACTGTGATAAGTGGTTATCCCTCAGGAAAACGAGATCCCCTCCCTCACACCATGCACAGAAGCGCTGAGGAAACCCAGGGGGGTCTGTCTGTGACTCTGGGGACACACAGGCCCTCTGAAACAAGGCATGCGTCTGGAAGGCACGGTACCTTCTCGACCGCAGCATAATTAGAAGCATCTTTGTGACGAGAGACACCAGAACTAAAGTGGAAAGAGGAGAGCAGGGGCGCCTGGGTGGCTCGGTCGTTAAGCGTCTGCCTTCGGCTCAGGTCATGATCCCAGGGTCCTGGGATCCAGCCCCACATCGGGCTCCCTGCTCGGCAGGAAGAGAGCCACTCCCCCTGCTTGTGTTCCCTCTCTCGCTGTGTCTCTGTCAAATAAGTAAATAAAATCTTAAAAAAAAAAAAAAATAGAGGCAAGCAAACGAGGCAGAGAGCGAGGGAAGATTCTGGTTAGGGTGAAGACTCAGGCCCTAGAGCCAGGGAGATGGAGAGGGTGGGGCACAGCGACAGGTCGGGAAGGAGATGGGAGGGAGGAGGGACGAATGAATGGGGGGTGAGGTGACAGACACGGAACCCGGGAGGGCCAGGTGGGTGGAGGCAGAGCGGCAGAAACAGAGCCAGGGAAACGGAGGGAGAGAAACAGAATATGGTGGGTAACCCCAGAAAGAGAGAGATGAGTAAGAGAGGGGGCAGGACAGGGACGGTCACAGACCCCAGTGCTGCAGAGGCCAGAATTCTGGGCAGATTCTCACCCTGGGCTCTGAAGGCGGGGCTGGGACCGGTGGGTGGGAGGAACTGGGCAGGTGTAACGGTTTTCTGAGGGACAGAGCCCCCTGCAGGAACAGGCAGCCAGGGGACACAGGAAGGTCCCGGGTTTGGGGGTGGTGGAGAAGCCAAACCCACCGGAGGGATGGTTGCAGAGGAGAGCACTCTGGGGAGAGGTGAGATGTGGGGTCTGGAAGACCACCAGGGGTGCCCACATCTGGCCTGTCCAGCTGTGTGCACGGACAGCCACACGTGCTCTGCATCCTGGCTCCTGTGTGCAGGACCCTTGCCTGTGGCCTCCTGCACGCTGACTCGCAGACGCTCCCAGACACGCACGCAGGAGGGTGTGCACCCCTGTGAGACCAGGCACAGCGACGGGCAGGGGCCCCAGAACACCAGCGCCTCGCGGCCCAGGCTGGCCAGGGCCGAGCACGGCGCACACAGGAGTACACGTGCAGCCACGGGGCCAATGACGCGCCCACGGGCCCTCAGGCCGCCGCGTGCTCTCCCGCCCGTCTGAGTGCGCACGCGCACGCCGGCCCTTGTGCACGCATGGCTTCCTAGAAGCGCGATCGTGGGGCCGCGTCTGCTCAGACGGGCCGGCCCCGCGCGCAGGCCCCTGACCCCGGGCGCGCCGTGTCTCCGTGCAGGCGGCGAGTACTTCAGCGACGAGCAGATGCGGTTCCGGGCCCCGCTGCTGTACGAGCAGTACATCGGGCAGTACCTAACCCAGGAGGAGCTCAGTGCCCGCGCCCCGGCCCAGGAGCCGCCCAAGCCCGGCGCCCTCGGCACCCCCGCCTGCCCGCTCTCTGACCTGCTGCTCCAGTCCTACCAGGAGCGGGAGCTGCAGCAGCGGCTGCTCCAGCAGCAGCAGGAGGAGGAGGCCTGCCTGGAGGAGGAGGAAGAGGAGGAGAACAGCGATGAGGAAGGTGAGGGCCGGTTCCAGGGGGCTCCCAGGCTGGGCCCCCGAACTGCAAGAGCAGACCTCGCATCCCTCCCCTGACTGGCCTGAGTGCCCAGGCTCTTCCCAGTGCTTCCAGCATCTCTGCCCCCCACTCCTCAAAGGCACCCAGCAGTCGCTCCCCTCCAGGCCATTGCCCACGCTGTTCCCTCTGCCAAGAATGCCTTCCCTTCGCCGGCCTCCAGGTAGCAGGTCCCGACCCTGTTCTCCAGCCTCCAGAGCACTGTACTGTCATTGTGTGTTTGGCTGTGGCCCGGGAGGGCAGGACAGGGGCTGTCTCGGTCACCACTGTGTTCCCAGTGCCACCAGGACAGAGGAGGCGGCTCTCCGTGGTTGTGTTTTCAGCCCTTCCCCGAGTGCACCGCTCACATCTTCCCCGCTGTGGGTGTCCGCCCCTACAGACCAGAGCCCCAGCAAAGACTCGGAGGCCTGGGTCCCCGATTCAGAAGAGAGGCTGATCCTGCGGGAAGAGTTCACCAGCCGGATGCACCAGCGCTTCCTGGACGGCAAGGATGGGGACTTTGACTACAGGTGACTCAGGCTTCCCCCTCCCCCCCCCCCGCCCCCGCCCAGCCCCCAGCCGGGCAACCCACAGCCCTCGGCCTGGCTCAGATGGCATAAGGGTCTCAGATGAGCCAGAGATCAGTGGGCGTCCTTGGACTAGCTTTGTGCATCTTTGAGCGTCAGTCCCCTCACCGGAAGAAGGGACTGAGCCGGGCTGACGGCTCAAATTTGACAAAACGCTGAAGTATTTGCGTTCGGGTGAGTGGTGGTGGCCTGGTAGGATGCCACTGCCCCAAGCCCCCCAGGTGTCCCCCAGGCAAGCCAGCTTCTTCCTCAGGCCCCCAGACCTCCTCATGCTTCAGGAAGTAGCCACTGGCAGGGTTAATGCCTAGCACAGAGGGGCCTGTGGTGGCTGCCCTGCAGTCTGCTTGCTGTCCCCACCGTAACCCCAGGGCGAGACACACAACCACTGCTTTGGGAAGGATTTTGCCATCAGGGAAGAGGACACCGAAAAAGTGAAGTATCGGAGTCAGAGATAAAAAGGTTTTGACAACTGAGGCAGTCCTGCCTGGTGGGTGTGGCAGCTGAGGCTTCAAACCCAGCCCCGGCAACACACGAACAGGCCGACCCTCAGCAGTTGCATGGGGAGCACCAATGCCACAGCCCCCAGGAGCACTGCCGGCCTGATCTAGGGCCCCCCGGCTCCGGAGGCAGGTCTGGCTAATCCAGACCTTCCAGGTGGGGTGGAGCCTCTTGGCCCGAGTTCCCACAAAAATCGGGGCGCAGAGCACCTGGGCCGTGGGGAGCCCCCAGAAAGCCAGGTGCCCATGAGGAAATTGGGCCTGGCATGAGGATTAGGGATGAGGGGGGATCAAAGCCCAACCCCCCTGGAGGGCAGCTACTGGGCAGTAGGGCCAGTGGGTCCCTTCTCTGCATGCCGCTACCACGTGCTGAGCACCTGCTGTGTCCAGACTCTGGGGATGAAGCAGTGACCAAAGCCAATGATGAAAGGGTTCCCTGCCCTGAAGGGAGTCCCACTCTAGTGAGGAAGCAAAAGAAGTTTGTAGCATCTGGTGCTGATGGGGCCATAAAGAAAATTAAGGCAGGGTCCAGGGGCGGGGAGTTGGAATGAGGTGGCCAGGGAAGGATCTCCGAGCAGGTGACGTTTCAGCAAAGACGTGCAGGATGTGAGGGGTGAGCAACATGAATATCTGTGGTCAGAGTGTTCCTGGCGGGGGGAGCAGCAGGTGCAAGGATCCTGTTTGCAATTTAGGATCACTTGACACCTTAGGGCAGACACTGCTCAGCACCGTTGACCTTTCGGGCCAGATCATTCTTCTGTGGAGCATTGGCCTGTGCGCGGTAGCGAGTTGAGAGGCGTCCCTGGTGTTGAGTCACTGGGGGCCAGTAGGAGCCCCCCAGTTGTAACAACCAGAATGGCTCCAGTCCCCTGAGGGGCAGAATCGTCCTGGTTCAGAACCACTCTCTGGGGAATGGGGGTCCTCCTGTCCCCACATCTTCCAGCTTTTTGAGAGAAACCAGAAGTTTTTATGTAAAATCTCAGCTTTGGAAAATGTTGCCTTTTGCTTGAAGCCCTGAGAGACTCCTAGCCGCCGCCCCGCCCCACCCCCCCGCAGGGGGGCAGCTCCCATTTACGGCCTTTGACTTTGGGGGTCCCAGCGCCTCTGAAGAGTGAGAAGCAGCCGGGCCCACAGAGCCAGCCCCTGACAGCCCCCTCCCCCTGCAGCACCGTGGATGACAACCCCGACTTTGACAACCTGGACATCGTGTCGCGGGATGAGGAGGAGAGGTACTTCGACGAGGAGGAGCCCGAGGACGCGCCCAGCCCAGAGCTGGATGGGGACTGAGGGCCGCCGCCGCCCGCCCTGCCCGCGACGCCGTCTGGGGGACGGCCGCGCTGGCTCTGGTGCCATCCCAGCCGACTCCCTGCCCGCTCTGTGTGCGGGGTTCCCTGCCTGCCCCCCCCCCCCCCCCCCCCCCCCCCTGAATCTCAGGGTCTCTCTGGCTCACTTGCTTTTCCTCCCTGCCTTTGAGTCTCTTGCTTTCTGCCATCCCCCTCCCTCTTTGAGCACCTCACTGGCTTTCCTCTCTGCCTTTCTTTCTGTCCCCTTCCCTGCACCCGGGCCTCTGTCCCCACGACAGGGCCCAGGCTGAAGGTCGTCCCCTTGACCGAGGCCCTTCGTAGCTGGAGCCGGCCGGGACAATGTCCGTGCCCCGTGTAGGGTCCGGGTGAACCCCGGGCTTCGCCCCCGGCCTCTGCCTGTTTCCCGCCTCTGTGCAGGTGCGGCGCGCGCCTCCCTGCCTCTGTTTCGTTCCATCTCCCTCAGCCTCGCTCTGGGCCTCTGGCTCTTCCCGCTGTACGCTCCCATCTCGCGGCCCCCATGCTACCTCTGGCCCTCCGTCTGCTTCTCAGCCTTTCTCTCTCTCTCTCTCTCTCTCTCTCTCTCTCGTTCTCTCTCGTTTCAGTGTCGTTCCCCCACCCCCACCCCCCGGCCCGGCTGCTGTGGGTAGCAGAGCCCTGACTGCTGAGGAAGGCGGCCTCGCTGGGCGGGCTACCAGCTGTCACCTCTCCCTCAGGACCCAGACTTGGGAGGGGGGTGCAGGGGCAGCACCGGGGCCATGGGCCTGCCAGCTTGGGTGTGGCGGGAGGGGGCACAGGGAGGGGGACTCTCCCCTCTCAGCCCCACTGCCCCTCTCTTTCCCCGGCCGCAGTGTTCCCTTCCTTCACTTCCTCCGCCTCCTTCTCCCTCTCCTGTTTACACTCCCCAAATACGCACAGGCTGTTATCATGGGTCCTGAGTCATCCCACACACAGCCTGCCCCAGCGTCCCTGCCCCCAGCTGGCCACAGGGCCCGCCCCACAGAGCCCCCTTCCGCCCCCGGCTAATGCGAGCCAGATGGCCTCCCGGTGACTCAGCCACTGGCCTGTGGGAACCCAGGCGTCCCGCCTTCCCATGCCCCCACACTCAGCTGCTTGCAGGGAGGGCCATGGGCCACGGGGCAGAGAGGTGGGGCCTGGGGACCCCTCGCTCCTGGGAGCCAGAATGATGGCACCCTGCCATAGCCAAGCCTGCAGGACCCTCAGAACCACCTCCTCAGGCACACGGCCCAGAGTAAGGGGGAGACCCTGAGGCCTCCCGGGGCCACAGCTCTTGACCCCTGGGTCAAGCAGGACTAGAGCCAGACACAGAAAGTGAGAGCTGGCCGAAAGGCCAAGGGACATTCACACGGAGAGACGGTTAAGTATGGAAGCTCCCGGTTAGCAGTTCTATCCCTCTGCCGGGCCTGGCGCCACACTGAATCCTCCTGACAACCCTGTGAACTAGGGACTCGCCTCCATTCCATAGGTGAGTCAGGGGAGGCCAGAAGGGAGGTGTTAGTTGGTCGACGCCGCATGGCCAGTGAAGATGAAAAACCAAGTCTAGACCTCACAGGTCCTGGAGACCATCCTCCTAGGCTGCGTGTCAGCTTTCAGGTCAGGGCCACCTGGAGCGGTCGGATGTATGGACTTGCTCGAGAAGACCAAGAAAGAGATGGCTTTGGAGGGTGATAGCTAAGCTTGGGGGGGGAGGTGTCCCATGCGCTCAGCACCGCCCTGCACAGGGGCGTGGAAGTCGGCACCTGGACAGGAAGCATCGCGGCCCCCCCTGCGCCGCCCGGACGGTCCGCACTGCTGCCCCGGCTCCTGCGGAAGCCCAGGATGGGCCGGCAGGGCCCGGAGAGCCCGAGGCTGACGGGTGTTTGCCCCTCGGGGACGTGTGCGCGCCCGCCCGCCCGCCCGCAGGCCCAGCGAGCTTTTCTAGCACGGGGAGCAGCCCTGCGTGATGTGCGCGGTTTTGGCCAGTCTGTCATTGGATCGTTGATGTTGTTTGTGATATACTTTGCCGGACGCAGACTCGTTACATAATAAAGTGATGAGAGACAACAGCAGCTGAGTCAGAATTAGGGTTAGTCAGATGGCGGAGACAGAGGTGGGGCCAGTCAAGAGGGACTGCGGGAGACACGCCCCCGGCACAGCCCCCGCGGCTGCGACCCGGAGGTGCCCCAAGGGGCGCCTGGCCCTCCGCCCCCAGCCCTGGGTCGGGGCGGACGGAGAGGCTGAGTCAGGGAGGGAAGGCCCGCTGGGGGAGAGCCCCTCCGTGGGCATCCGGCCCCCACCCCGTCTCCCGTCTGTCGTCCTGCCGGCTGCCGCCCGCACCCCTGTCTGACCCCCCTGCGTGTCCTGCCCTCGCATCCTGGCCCTCCCACCACTGCCCTGCTGCGCCTCTCCTTCTACCCCTGCTCTGCTTTGCCTCCGCGCTTCTGGCCGCCCGAAGCTCCCATCACTTCCGACCTCCACTCTTGCCCCGCCAGTCCTGCCCAGGAGCTCTGCCACCCCTCTCGCTTCCCTCCCGCTCCATCCTCCACACCGGTCCCTGAGCCTCCGCGACCATTCCTGTGCCTTCCTCCCGGAGTCTCCGCCCCCACGTCTCCCTCTCCCTGCGGTCCCCGGCCTGCCCCTTCACCCCTGTTGGCTGGCCTCTCTTCTCTGTCTCCCAGACTCTGGGAAGCCCAGTGAGGACATCCAGAGGGTCGCTGGTAGCCCCTGGGAGCCCAGGATGAGGGGTCGCTGACACACCCCCATCCGGGAAGGGGCAGTGAGGCCATAGCCTGTCTGGCCAGAAGGAAGTGTCTGCACTGTGGCCTGGTCACCCCCGCCCCCAGGACCTGCCGGGCTGCCGCCGCCACCCCCGGGCTGGGGCCGAGTAAACACAGCCGCCCGGCAGCTGGGATATTTATACCGAGGTCTGGGCGCAGGTCCAGTGCCCACCACAGCCCCTGCCCTGCCCGCCCGCCACGGCCAGCCCCAGGCCAGCGTGGCACCAGCCGGCGAGGGGACACACCGCAGATGCAGCCTCCACTCAGCACAGAGGCCTCTGGGCGTGTCGCTCGGGATGCCCGCGGCTTCCCTGGGGACACACCATGCCCCTCCTGCCCTGGAAACACCAGCACAGAATGCAGACCTGCAGGACACACGGCCACCCCACCGAAAACTCAAAACACCTCGAAAATCACGTGGTGCAAAAAAGAGACCCACACCACAGCTCACACGCCAAAGCCACCAGCCCACATACGGGGAGACAAAATGCAAACACCATCTGCGCATGGAGCGGAGGACGCCAGTCTCGGCATGGACACACACTCGCACTAACACACGAGGAGGGTGACAGCAAGTGTGTTGGAGACACACCCCACAGACACAACGTGCTCAGAATAGCAGCGAGGCACACACGGATCACAGACCTCCCCCAGAAACAAGCCGCCCAGACACACGAACACCAGGAACTGCCCCCCCCACACACACACAGCTGCACTGAAAACACAGCTCAGCTAGCGAACACAGAGCACAACAGCTCCCGGAAACACGCCTCCCTCACAGACACCCAGACATGCACAGAAAACATCCACACTTCGAGTCACACTTACCGAAGAACACACAAATTTACACCCAGAGAGCAAGAGCAAAGATGTTGAGAAAAAATGCAGACACACGGCACGCCCCAGGGATACGACCCCACTCCTACACACAGACTTGCCGAGACACGGTGTCATGTCACAGAGCCCAGAGAGGACATGGGCTTCTAGACAGAAACCCAAAACTCGGACCCACACACAGCACAGTCAGACACACAGAGGGGACACATGTTGGGGATGCACACTTGGACAGATGCTGTTCACACTCAGCACTGCCAGCCGGCACCCGCTGGTGTGTTAGAAACCCGCATGCTGGACACACAAAATCCACAGCACAAAGCTTGTAGACACACACACACACACACAGGTTCTGAACATGTTCAAATTTACATTAGAAACCCAAAAGACACCACTCACGATGTTGGGGGGGGGGGGGTTTTCTCTCTCCCCCCCCCCCCCCCCGCCCCCTCCCTTGCTTGCCCTGCTCCTTCCAGCTGACCCAGCTCCCAGGCCTGTCTGGGGGAGGGGGCAGGAAGGCCTGAGCTGGCCTCCCCGGCCCCGCTTCCTGCCCCGTGGGGGCCGGACGGGAAGCTGGGGCTCCAGCCGGAACCCAGGCTCCCCCCACGACTTCCCTCCCCTCCCGGGTCGGCCCGCAGGAGCGGGGGAGGGGAGCGGGGCTCCCCGAACCCCGGGTCCTGCCCCGGCGCTTGGGCGCAGGGCCAGGGGCCAGGACTCCCTTGTCCCCACGGGGCCTGCCCCGCCCCCCCGCGGGGCCGGGGGTGCCGGGTAGCAGGGCAGGGGCTGCCCGCAGGCAGTCCAGGAAGGTGCTGAGCCCGCAAGTTTCCCTTCCTGGGCGGCCTCCGCGCCAGCTCAGCCGGGCGGGCAGGTGGGCGGGGTGTGTCACGAGGGCGTGGCGAGGGCTCGGGCCACCGCGGGGTGTGCAGCCCTGCGTGGCCAGGACTTGTCCTCGGGCCCAGGCACGGGCTGGGCGTGCGAGGGCCGCGACCCTGGGGGTGTGTCTGGGTGTGTGGGACTGCTCCGTCTGGGACCCGGGGTGTGACAGCTCGTCTGGGTATGACGGGGCCAGCTGCTGTCTGCGCGGCCTCGTGGGACTCCCCAGGCCTCAGCGTGTGGGGCCAAGAGATGTCAGGCTGAGTGGGCACCGCCGGCCTGCAGTCTGCGCCACCGTGCCGTGTGTCTCCATGTGTGGCGTGTGTCTGGGTGGGACTGGGATGCGTCAGGTTGTGCCTGTTCGTGAGCGGGACCCCGCGGAGGACGGAGGACGTTTGTGCAACTGTTGGCGGGTCCCAGCAGGAGTCTCTGTTTCACTTCCTGATGGGGCTCTGAGGCTGGGAGGTGTGTGTCTGTGCGTGGCATCCTCTCGAAATCCCTCTCTGGTGTGCGGGGGTCGTATTTGTCTGACTGTGTTCTGCCGTGTCCCGGTGAAGCTCCGAGGCTGGGCTGGGCCCGGGTAATGCGGCAGGGCAAGCGTGGGCTGTGGCCGCCGCCCCATGTCACAGGCTTCTGTGTAGCCTCTGTGGCTCTGAAAGGTGGACGTGTTTGTGAGACCGTGGGACACGGTCCACATTCGAACCTCTGTTGTGAGTGTGAATGTGTGTAGCTGTGCCGCATTTTCACAGGGTTGCAGTGACGACGGTCTGTGTCACTGTGTGCTGGCAAGTGTGTGCATACGGGAGGCTGGTGAAAATGGCAGCACGTCCCCACACAGTGACCCCCACCCTAGGGCCATCCCTGGGCCAGGAGCAGGTCAGAGCCCGGCCCTGGGAAGGACAGGAGAGCGTAGGGCAGTGGGAGGGTGGGGACCAAAACCTGGGTCGAAGAGGGGGAAACCGGAGAGGCTGAGGAGGAAGCAGGGGAGAGTTCACGGGCAAGACCAGAGCAGATGGGAAGAAACGGGGCAGCCGATGGGGAGCCACTCTGGCTCAGGGCACTGGCATTGCTCACTTGGACAAATGGTCTCCCTGCAGCTCCCCTAGCCGGCATTCGGTCTACTCAACCATCAGCCAGAGGGACTCTCTGAGCACCGAAGTCAAATCACTCTCCTCTTCTGTTCCGAACCCTGACGTGGCTCCCACCTCCCTCAGAGTACAAGTTCCCACAGGCCCCCACAGGCCCCCACGGCCCAATGTGGACGGGGAAGCAGTTCCCGTGCAGAGGTCATGTGCCTAGATCCTCAACTCCAGCTGTTTGGGCTTGAATTCCCAGCTCTGCCGCCTGCTAGCTGTGTGACCTTAGCAAGTAACTGAACCTCTCTGTGCCTCGGTCTTCCCATCTGTAAAGTGGGGAGCAAAAGGTCTCTATAGTAGGAGCTGGCAAACTGTTGCTGTAAAGGGCTAGATAGTAACTATTCGTGACTTTGCATATAGTTTCTACTGGGCCCTGCCCTTGTAGCACCGAAACAGCCCTAGGTGATGCACAAACGAACGAGCATGGCTGTGCTCCAATAAAACTTTATTTACAGACACAGGCAGCGGGCCAGAATTGGCCTGCAGGCGGTAATTTGCTAACCCCTGCTCTGCTGGGCTGTGTGGAGAATGTGGGGAGCTCCTACAGCCCTACCTGGCAGGGGGAATATTATTACTCTCTGGCCTGTGAGCATTAATCAACTGACTCAGCTCCCAGCACCCTTCCCCTTGTCCCTCCCTTCCAACCACATTTGGCCTTTCCTCTCAGTGTCGCTTACTCCAAGTTCATCCTCATGGCCAGGCTGTGCCTAGGTCTTCCTACCGAGAACACTCTCCCCCAGTGCTCCCCCAGACTGCCTCCTCCGAGGAGCCCTCCCTCCTCCCCCAAACCATCTCTCGCTCCATCCTGCTTTCCTGTCTTAGCGTCACTTCCCACATCTGTCTCTTCCCCAGAAAGCAGGTTCCTGGTGGGCAGCAACTATTCCCTTAACCTCGCTGGGCTCTGGCTTCCTCACCTTTTTAAAGTGAGTGTTACCTCAGATGACACTATCTCAGAGTTTTGTTATGGTGATTACACGAGTAGTCAATATAAGGCATTTGGAACAGGGCACAAGGTGCTCAATAAATAAATCTAGCGGCCGCGCGGGGAGTACTTGGGACTTCAGGAGTGCTCTGCAGGTGTTTGTGGGAGGAAATGAATGGTGGAGAGAGACAGGAGGGGGGGCAGATGGATCCGGAACCAGGGAACGTCGAGAATGCCGGGAGGGAGACCCCAGTCAGGGACCCAACGACACGCACAGAGACCCCAGTCCTCTCTCCACCTTTAATGGACCCCAGGGGCGGGGGGAGGGGGGCTGGGGCGCGGTGTCCTTAAATACAGCCCGGCGCAGCGGGCGGGGGCGGGGCCGGGCCTGCCGGTGGGCGGGGCCTGCCGGGCGGGGCGGGGCCTCAGCTGCACTTGCAGGAGCGCACGATCATGTTGGACAGCTGCTCCACCTTGGGCTTGCGGCCCACGTAGTACACGATGGGCAGTGGCTCCAGCGCCTGCGGCACGCAGCACGGGGCCGCCGACGCGCCGGGGTTGTGCTGGTTGTACAGGGCCAGGACCTGCGGGCGGGGGCGGGGGGGGCGTGGGCAGGGTGCCCCCTCCCCCTCTCCCTCTGTCTCATCTCGGTCTGTTCCGTTCTCAGTCTCAGCCTCACTCTCCCCATTTTCCACTCTTGCTTTGTCCTCAGTCTCTCTCTGTCTCGGTGGCGGTCTGTGGACTCCGGCCTTTTTCTCGCATACTGACCCTGCCGTTCCCTCTCCTTCCGTCTCCCCGCCTCCCCGCCTCCCGCGCCCCGTCACTGGGTCTCCGTGGGGTCTCCCGCTGCGCACTCTCCACCTGCTCTGACCCTGTCTCCTCCCGTCTCTGCTCCGTCCCCTCCGATCGACGCCCGGCCTCTCTCTACTCAGCTGGCCCATTCCTCTCTGGTTTTACCTGTTTGTCTCCCTCCACTCCCTTAGTCCCTGCTCCTCCCAGAGCACCCCTGTCCGAGGCCAGACGCACCTTGCTGTACTGCGTGTCCAGGCTCCAAATGTAGGGGCAGGGCCCCAGGCAGAAGTTGGCGTGGTAGCCCTTGGGCTCGTGGATCCACTTCCAGCCCAGATCCTTGCGGAAGTCGATATAGAGCTGCCGCACGCAGCAGTTCTTCTCCGTGGAGCTGCAGGCGGGAGGGAGGAGCCCGGGTCAGGAGGGGCTGCTGCAAAGGCGGCCAGGCCCCGGGGGCAGGGGTGCGGGGGGGGCACCCTGGTCACCCCCAGCACGGTCCCCATCTCGGTCCCCCTTGCACCGCCTGTGACAATAACGGCAATAGCAGTGAGAGCAACCATACCCACTAACGCTGATAAAGTCAAGCACTGTGCTAAGGGCAACATAGTAAACCTTGTCTCACGCCAGGCTCAGAACAAGCCTGCAAGAAGCCAAATGACCGTCCACATGCACTAAGTTCTATGTGTACAACAAATGTTTGTTGAACCACTACCATGTGCTTGGCTGGGATCTACTAGGGACTCAGTGCAAACGACACAGATAGAAATCCTCGCCTTCTGGGACCACATGCTAGAGATTGTCGTGTCTTTCCTCTGCTCGGAACATGGCTCAAACATCACTCGGGGCAAATGCCCAAGTCCTCACCAGGAACCCCAAGATGCTGCCTGGTCGGCTGATCTCAACTCCCTCCCCACTCTCCTTGACTGCCGGCTACACTAGCATCCTCCCTGTTCCTCAAACATAGTCCTGCCCCAGGACCTTTGCACTTGTTCTTCCTTCTTCCTGGCTTGCTATTCACACAGATATCCATCCACTCTGGCTCGGTTCTTCAGTTCATTTAAACGTATGCTCAGATGCCCTTTACATAGGGAGCCTTAACTCCTAGAACACTGGCTGACATGCAGCAGGTGCTCAATAAATATCCAAAATACCAATCCAAATGATCGTGAATTCCATTCCGTGTAATAATGACATTTCAGTTATGCAAGAAAATATGACAATGTCTATATTTGAAGTGGGGCAAATTTTTTGGGAAGATTTTATTTTTAAGTAATCTCTACACCCAATGTGGTGCTCGAACTCATAACCCTGAGATCAAGAGTCACACGCTCTACTGACTGAGCCAGCCAGGCATGCCAAGTGGGACAAATCTTAATACTGTTGAAGCTGGATGAGAATTCATGTGACTTCATTATGCCATATCTTGTCTGCGTTTGTTTACATTTCAAATTTTCCATAATAGAAGAAAATTTTAACCAGGATAGGAAGAATAGTCCCCAATATCTAGTTTTTTTCCTCTCCTCTTCCTCTGATTTTTTTTCCTTCTTAGTACTTATTGCCACATGGGGCACATGGTTGGTTCAGTCAGGAGAGCGTGCAACTCTTGATCTCGGGGTTGTGAGTTTAAGCGCCACGCTGGGCATAGAGATTAATGTGTGTGTGTGTGTGTGTGTGTGTGTGTGTGTTCGTGTGTGTGTGTATGTTAGGTTTTTAAAAAGCACGTTGGAGAATAGTGGTGTATAATACTCTACTGCTCTAGACTCATAATCTCTGTCCCATGCTCAGAAGCAAAAGCCAGTCCTCCCCAGCCGGGAGCCCAGGCTCCTGCTTGTCTGGAAGGAACTGGGACATTTTATGTGCTGGCCTCTGGGGCCATGGCTGAGCTGGGCAGGGACCTTGGCTAAAAAAGCTTGATTTATGGGCAGCCAAGAATGCTTTATATACCAGGTTCATAACATATGAAAGAAACGCTAGGCAAAGCTCAAGGACAGTATGATCCAAATTCTGTTTTTGCATAAAAGAACTGGAAGGAACTACATTCAAATGTTGGCTTTTTACATATGGTGGTGTGATGGGTGCGTGTTACTTTTAGAAGGAAGGAAGGAAGGATGGGAGAGAGGGAGGGAGGAAAAAGTATGCAGCGCCCTCTCCACATCCCCCCCCCCAAAGGATTCTACAATTTGGTCAAAATAAAAAATATATGGAGGGGCGCCGGGGTGGCTCAGTCGGTTAAGCATCTGCCTTCGGCTCAGGTCATGTTCCCAGGGGCCTGGGATTGGGCCTGCTTCTCCCTCTCCCTCTGCCTGCCGCCCCCACCCCCGCTTGGGCTCTCTTTCTCCCCCTCTCTCTGTCAAATAAATAAATAAAATCTTTAAAAAATATATTGGTTATGTATAAGTGTTTCAAACAGAGACTGTCTCCGGAAAGAGACACAGAGACAATAAAACCGGCTGCCTCCTCCTCAGGGGCGGGGCGGGGCGGGTGTGGTCAGGGCTGGAGGGTCTCTGAAGTATTCTTTCTAGGTTTGGTCCATGTGCACGTATTTACCTAGTCAAAAATTAATCAACAGAGAATGAATTAATCTCAAAACCCTGTGAGGCAGGCCTTATTATTATCCCCATTTGAAGGGTGAAGGAGCGCTCCCTGCTCACGCACAGCGGGCAAGCGGTGGAGCTTGGGGCCGGTTTCACCACCAGCTCTGCACCACCCAGGGGCCTGAGCACGGCCATGTCAGCTCAAGCAGAGCAGGAAGAGGTGATGATACAGCATTTCCCCGGGGCAAGACAAGGCCTCTCCAAAAGCCACAGACCCCTAAGAAGGGAGCCAGGAATCTGAGATCCCTATGAGCTCAGCCCAGTTCCTCCCCAGTCTGGTTGGGCCTCAGTTTCCCTATCTGTCCAAAGACACAGGGGATGTTAGGTCAACTAAGGTGTTGTTAAGGGCCAAGGAGGCATCAGGAAGTCCATGTGTGGGTTCAGCAAGGGTCTTTTTTTTTTTTTAAGATTTTATTTATTTGAGAGAGAGAGCGAGCACATGAGAGGGGGGAGGGTCAGAGAGAAGCAGACTCCCTGCTGAGCAGGGAGCCCGATGCGGGACTCGATCCTGGGACTCCAGGATCATGACCTGAGCCGAAGGCAGTCGCCCAACCAACTGAGCCACCCAGGCGCCCCCAGCAAGGGTCTTGAGCTCCCGAAACCACAGGCACATACGTGTGCATTTATAGACATATGTCTGGGGCGACTGTCTGGCTTTCAGCTTCTCAAGGGGGTCCTAAACTCAGAAAAGGGAAAGAACCCCTGTCCAGAACAATCTTTCACTTCTGGTTCACCTGTGACCGGGGGTTCTGAGGTCCTAAGATTTGAATAGTCTGTGACTCTTACCACCCACCTGGGACATGCTCCATGTCGGGTCCCCACAGCGACAGATGTGCAAATGCAAATTCTCCGGCCCCACCCCAGACTTACTGAATCTGAAACTGGGGGTGGGCTTGGGGCGGCTGGGGGACAGCAGGCCATATTTAACAAGCCTGCAGGTGACTCTAAGGCACTGTGTAACCCATGTGTTCAGTGCAAGTTCAAGACCTTTTGCAAGGGGCGCCCAGGTGGCTCAGATGGTTAAGCGTCTGCCTTCGGCTCAGGTCATGATCCCGGGGTCCTGGGATCGAGGCCCGCATTGGGCTCCCTGCCCAGCAGGGAGCCTGCTTCTCCCTCTGCCTCTGCCTCTCTCTCTGACTCTCATGAATAAATAAATAAAAAACATTATTTAAAAAAAAAGACCTTTTGCAAAGCTTTTAAGTACACTCTATGCTCAACGTGGGGCTTGAACTCACGACCCGGAGATCAAGAGTTGCATGGCCTACTGACTGGGCCAGCCAGGTGCCCCTCTTGCAAAGCTCTTGCAGAGCCCCTCTGCCATCCAGTCAGGGCCTGGTAGGCAAAAGAAACCTACTTGGGGCCCCAGGACAGGCCAAAGGGCCTCACATCGTTCTTGGATGCTAGGGAAGCGTTCAGGGAGGCTAGCTTCCACAATCTCACGTCATGGCCAAGTTCACTGCATCTCTGCCCCCTACCCACTTCCTCTCCCCCACTGGACAGCTTCGAAGCACATGCCCTCCACCATGTCATTTCATCCACAAATGTTTCCACATGTATCTCCAAGAAAATTTTAAAACATCACCACAATACCACATAAAAAAAATTCACAATGATTCTGTGATATCATCAGATACACAGAGTTCACATTTCCCCAACTGTCTCCCAAACGTCTTTTCATTTTTACTCGTCTGCATAAAGATCCAAATAAGGTCTACACATTGCAATTGGTTGATCTATCTCTTCAGATTCTTTTAGAAATCTATAGAACCATCTCTCTCCTTCCCCCCGCTCTGCCTTGTGTTTGTTGAAGAAAATGGGTCAGGTTTCCCACAAGCTAACTGCTGCTGACTGCAAGCGTGTGGTGTTGTTTCACATGTTCTTCTGTCCCTGGGTTTCTGGAAAATTGGTAGCTGGATCTACCGTCTTGATCAGCTCAATGTTCAATTTTTTGGCCCAGCTTCCTAGGTGACACTGTGTCCCTCCCTACAGAGCCTCACATGGCTGCCTGCCCCCCTTTTTGGTTATTAATGTCAGTAGCAGTCAAAGCTTCAATTCTTGCATTCATTCATTCACAAGGTTGCCGGGCTGAAGGCTGGGGCTGGGGCTGAGCTCGGGAGCAGAAGTGACTCTCCAGGAGGGGAACAGCACATAAGAAAGCCCAGAGGTGCCATCAAAATATTAAGCAGGGGAGAGACAAGGTCAGGTTATCGTTCTAATTCTGCAACATCTAACTCTGAATGTCCACATTCTAAGGAATCCAACTTTTCGACTCTCTCAGATTGCAATACTCCAGCATCTGAAGGTTCTCACACTCCAGCGGCATTTCCAACTTGCTGGCAGTCCCACATTCCTGCTCTCCGGGATCCTACCATTCATGAGTTCCACCGTTTTGATGTTGCATACAAGCGTTCCACAATCCTGAGCCCACCTCTCAAGAGGTCCAAGCTACCACCTCCTAAGATCCCAGCCTTCCGAGATTCTAACACTGAGCCCCAACACTCTAGGATCCACTCTGGCTTTCTCTAACCCTAACATTTGTGGATGCTGGTATTTTAACACAGGCTTCCCCCATCTTGAGCCCAATATTCAAGGCCTCCAATCTGCCATTGGCATAAGGAATCCAACATGCGTGATCTTCCAATTCTGAATTCCCAAATTCTAGGATCTCAACATTCCTGGAGTCCGGCGTTCTCAGATTTCAATCATTCACACGGAATCCTAACGTTCTAGCATCCCAACCGTCTAGAACCGCAACCTGCCACCACTGAACTCCCACGCGCTCGGTGTCCCTCATTCCAACAGTCTGATTCCAACACACCAGCAAGAAAGCAACCTGACCTCACCATTCTAGGGCTCCCAGGGCACCCATCCCAGCATTCTGGCACTCGGACCTCGTCCGCTGAGCCTTCTAGGCTGGAGGAGAGGCCAGTGCACGTGTAGCCAGGGGCCCAATGTGGCGCGCCTGGTCAGCAGCCGACCATCGCGCCCCCAGCCTAGGAGACCCCGGTTGAAGGCAGAAAGGTCACCTGAAGCAGTAGTTGGTGTCCAGGGCCCGGCGATGCCGGGAGCTGTGCAGGTGCTGGGCCCTCTCCAGTGGGGTGGCCATGAGGAGCAGGAAGGGCCGGTTCATGCCGTGAATAGTGGCCAGGTCACCTCGGCGGCTGGAACGGAGCCCTGCTTTGGTTTGGAGCGGTGGAGGGTAGGGGAGACAGAGACACACAGTCTCAGATGGATGAACGGGGGCAGGGGCAGGGGGAGGAAGACACACGCGCATGCACGCGCGGGCACGCTGCCATGGGGCCAAGCCAGGGAGATGGGCCTCACCGTTGATGTCCACTTGCAGTGTGTTATCTTTGCTGTCACACGAACAGTGGGCACTGAGGCGAAAGCCCTCTACTTCCCCTGTGGGAGTGGAAAGAGGGAAGCCAGTGCCAGTGTGAGGTGTGGCTCACGCTGAGGCTGCAAGGGGCGGGAGCAACCCCGGGGGGCAGGCAGGGGTGGGGGCGGGCGGGGGGGGTGGAGGTCCTGCCAGCCTCCCTCCTCCCCTGCCTGCCCTCTCCCTGCACCCTCTGGCTTCCTCCTCCTTCTCTTTCAGGTCTCAGCTCAGAGGTCAAGTCCTCCAAGAGGCCCTCCAGGACACAGGCCCCTCCCCCACGGTGACATCACTTTATTTTCTCCATAGTACTTACCCTCCCTGACATTTGTATTTGGCTATTTAGTTCCCTCAATGCTCCCTCAGTGGAAAGCAGGATGCGTGGGGGCAGGGATGCCCGTCTTCTTGTCCCCCGCTGGGCCTAGCCCACAGTCCATAAAAACAAACATCTACTGGGTGGCCCTGTCCTAAACATGCTGTGAGCATGTGAGCATTATCTCCTTCAATCCTCACCAAAGCTTCCCATTTTGCAGACATGGAAGCCGAGGCCCACGGAGAGGAGAGGACTTGCCCCAAGTGGGAAAAGGTAGGGCCACGATGCAAACCCACAGGGCAGCTGGGGGGATGAATGAATGAATGAATGAATGGGTGATTTTCTAAGCTGCTCCTAGGTGCTGGGCCCTGTGCTGGGTGCTCTAGACCCAGCAGGGACCGAGAATGGCCTTTGTCCAGCCACACAGGACACTCCGCCCAGCTCCCACCTGCTCCTGAACCCCCACTTTTCAACACCTAGACGAACCACCACTTACCCCACAAGTCTCAACACTATCACCTTCCCCCAGAAAGCCCTCCCAGACCCTCGGATGGGCGCAGATACCTGGGCCAGCTCCTGCAGCGCCTCCCCGCCCCAACACTGCTCTCTGGGCTCATCACTGCCGCCTCAGGCTTTGGCAAGACTTTCTAGGTGTCCGGAAGTGACTGTGGGCCCCTGGAGGGCAGGATCTAGAAGTGATCTGAATTTCCACTGCATATCCAGCACCCAGAGGGAGATTAGGAAAGGGGATGTGGGCGCTGTGGACTCCGACGGGCAGGACAGACCCAGTCCTCTTAGAGACAGATCAGATGTGCCAGGCATTCCCTGGACTCAGGGTCTGCCTCGAAGGCTCTTGCCCCTCCTTCTTTCGATGTCCTCCTCCAGGAAGCCCTCCCTGACCGGAGGCTGGGTCAGGCATCTCCTCTGGGCTCCCCAGCCCAGCCCTACCCAGTTTTCAGGACTTTCCCCACTTCCCCCACCCCAACAATGGACCACGGGCTCTGGGAGGGTAAGGATGGGGCTGATTGGGTCGCTGCTGCGTCCCCAGCATCCCCCAGCACAGAGCAGGTGATCAGGAAATGGATTAAGCGCTAATCACTCACGTTTCGGAGGGTCTGGGAGGAAGGCCAGGTCTTGGCTCTTTGGCACCAACATGGGGTGGCAGCTGGTAGGCAGGGCAGCCCCAGGACAAACAAGGGGATCGATCCCATTACAAAATAGGGGTGGGGGAATGCCTGGGTGGCTCAGTCTTGTTAAGCGTCTGCCTTCGGCTCAGGTCATGATCCCAGGGTCCTGGGATGGAGCCCCGCATCGGGATCCTTGCTCAGTGAGGAGCCTGCTTCTCCCTCTCCCTCTACTGCTCCCCCTGCTTGTGCTCTCTCTCTCTCTGACAAATAAATAAATAAAAATCTTAAAAAAAAAAAAAACAGGGGTGGGGCAAAGAAGCAGTCCTCACCTCCGTGGCTCAGCCACTGCCGCACGACTCCCGTGACATCAAAGGACAGCCATTCTGGCGTGTCGCTGGGCGCCAGCAGCCGGTTGCTGAGGTAGCGCCAGGAATCGTTGCTGTATTTCTAGGGGATGATGAATTTGGGGGGGGGAGACAGTGAGTAGATGGTGCTCCACACCCCCAAATGCATTGACTGTACCTCCCTCCTTCCGCTCCACCACACAGGCCTCCAGAGAGCCCCTCTCACGGTCCCATCCCAGACATTCACGCTGTGGGACCCTGCGGGAACCACCCGCCCCAGAGCGGCCCTGGGAGGAGAGGAGGGAGACCCCCGGGCCCGGCAGGGGGGAGGTGGGGATCAAGGCACCTGGACGGCTCAGCCTCTGCCCTGAGCCCCAGGCCTGAGTTCCCTCACTGGTGAAATGCCAGGCCCCCCTCAGCTTGACAGCCCACCACGCTAAGATCCTCCGAGGACATCCTGAGGTCCACTGAGCAAGCATACAATTCTGCAAATCTGACCCCCTAACTTCTGAGAGTCTGTAACTTTCTAGGGGCTTATGTTAGAAGTCATTCCAGAACTCCAGTACTCAGGAGCACCCGAAGAATTACACACTCAATGAGCCTGAGAAGTTCTACACGCCCAGGAGTCTGACACGCCCCAAACCCAGATGCTGCCGACGCCTCACACCCCCGTGTGGTGATCCTCTGGGGCCGGGCAGAACACTCCAGGCCCTGGCAGCATAAAGCTGAATTCTCCAGAATCCAAGAAGTTTGACAATAGACCACATTCCTTTGTTGTAAGAGTCTAACACCCACCCTGAAGCCTCATGTTCCATAGGACATGGATTCTAGGTCACATAACCTTCTGGAGACTCCAGCCCTTCCGGAGGCCCCAACCTTCCTGGAGACTCGAAATCTTCTAAAACAGAGCTATCCAAGGGAACTTTCTCTGGCGATGGAAATGTTCTTTATCTGTGGCATCCAAAATAGCAGCCGCTAACCACATGTGACTACAGAGTACTTGAAATATGGCCAGTGAGACTGACGAACTGAATTTTTCCTTTTATTTAATTTTAGTCAACTTAAGTGGCCATGTGTGGCTATCCCCTACCGGACAGAACGGTCTGAGAGCCTCCGACCTTTCAAGATCCCAGCCTTCTGAGTGGTTACACCCCAGGGTGCTAGGAGTCTGCAAGTTTCAAAGAGCCCTGCGATCCACCGTGTGTGCGCCTCCGTCCTCCGAAGTTTGTCTCTGCGGACTTGGCAGCCACCAGCCACCCGGCCGCCCACCCTGGCCCCAGCCCACGGGCACGTGCGGCCCACCCGCCTCCGGGGCTCGGGCCTCCCCCACCTGGTACAGCTCCACGTGCTGCTCCACTTTTAACTTGAGCCTCAGCAGGCGCAACTCTGCCCGGGAGAGCAAGACGGGCTCGGGCACTGCTTCTCGGAGCTCCGATGTGTTGAAGAGCATATATATGCTGTGCGGGCTTTTCTTGATTTTCTCATAGATTTCTAGGCAGGAGGAGCAGAGAGGAGGGATGTCAGGGGTTTGGCGGGGAGCCGGCTGGCACACCCCAAGTCTAAGAGCGTGGGCTCCCGGGCTGACAATGCTGGGTGGGAACCCAACTCTGACTCTTTTTAGCTGTGGGGCTTTGGGCAAGTGGCTCGCCCTCTCTGGGTTCGTCTCCTCCTTCTGTGAAACGGGGTCTGAACCACCCTTGTCCCCCACCGTCGGTAAAGTGTCCACTCAGTACATGGCTGTAGGGGGGCTGCTGCGCTTGCTCAGGCCACTTGGAGCCTCAGGTGCAAATTAGGATCAAGGGCATTTGGACCAGCCCTGGCCTCTGCCGTCTTCCAGCTCTGTGACTTTGGGCAAGTCACATTCCTTCCCAGAGTCTCACTTTCCTGCTGTTGTTTGGGAACCGGCAACCACATCGAGCTCCCTAAACCCCAACCGGTCTCTCCTCACTGAAGCGCTGTGTGACTTTGGGCAAGTGAATTCCACTCTTGGAGCCAGATCCTCATCTACAAAACGAGGACCGACCACGGGGTTAGTGTGTGACACGAGAGAGACGTCGCAGGTAAAGCGTGTAGAAGAGCCTGCACATTCGGGGTGCGCTCGTTGGTGTGTGTGTGTGTGTGTGTGTGTGCACGCGTTAAAGAGCGCTCACTATTTGCAGGTGCTGTTCACAACACTCACAACGGTTAAGACATTTAAACCTCACAACCAACCACCCCGTGAGGAAAAGACGATTATTATACCCATTTCAGAGCTGGGGAAACAGGTCATTTGCCCCATGGTGACGGCCGTAGGGAGCTACAGAGCTGGGATTCAAACCCGGACAGTCTGCTCCCAAAGACTGTGCTCTTAGCCCCTAGGCCATGCCGCCTCCCTCCTACTGTGACATTATTATTATTAATATTATTATTATTAATTGCTTCCTCTCTTCTCTTCCCTCCCTCAGCTGCTTAGACAAGGCAAAGTTCATTCTAGGTAGGAATGGCTTTGGGCGGGGGAGGGTGAAAGTTAGGAAGAGTGCTTTCTAGTCTAGGAAAAGTTTGGGATGAGCAGACAGGCCACTGACCGTCTACACTGACTGGGGCACATACTTTAGGCCTCTGCAGTGGGGGTGCAGAAATGGTGGGGACAGCATCTGATGAGAAAGGGCAGAGGAAGCTCCTTGCACGGGCCCCTGCCCCTACTCCTCCCTACTCTAGCGAGGCCAGCCTGGTCCCCCACAAAGAAGTCCTATCTTGACCCAGGGGTTACTCAGCAAACCCCAAAGGAAGGGTGGCGCAGGGGCATTGAGGGGGGTAGGGGGCAGATAGGGAGGAAGGAGAAAGGAGGGGCAGGACTGGTAGGAAGGAGGGATGGAGAGACCGCAGAGACAGGGAGACACTAGGAGCACGGCGTGGAGGCGAGAAAGAGGGAGGAGACAGGAACGGGGAGCCCCACGCATGGGGATGCGGGAGAGACGCAAGGCAGAGATGGGGCAGACACACACGGGAAGAGAGACATAGGGTTTGGGGGCGAGATGGAGGCAGACTGGGAGGGGAGACGAGGATGGAAAGTGTCAGTGTTAAAAAAAATCTCTACAAGGAAGGTGAAGCGGCCACAGAAAAGGTGAGGCCGAGAGGTGGGTGGGGAGGGGCGTCATCCGGCTGGAGCTGCAAGCTAGGCGCACGCAAGGCCCGGGGACCCACAGGTGCACCACCCAAGTCAGAAAGGGCAAGCGGGGGGGCCGCCCCCAAACCTCCGGGCCCCGCGGGACACCTGGGTCCCCGCGTGGGCGCCGGGGGGGGGGCGGGCCCAGCGGCAGCTCCACCCCGAGCTGGGGTGAAGAGGGCGGGAGGCGCCGCCGCCGCGAGGGCGGGGACCCGACCTGCCCGGTCTCGCCCCAGGCTCCGCGCGCGATCCCCGCCCCCCCCGGGCACGGGAAGGAAAGGGAAGGGAAGGGAGGGCGAGGCGGCCGGACGCTGGGGTTTCCCCAGCCTCCTCGAGAGGAACTGGGACTCTGGGGTGCAGACTCTCCCCTTTCAGCTCTGCGGGGTCCTCCTCCCCGCCCCGCTTCCGGGAGGGCAGGCTCCTCCCTCCGCGCGTGGCACCCACGTGGGGCTCCCTCACCCTGACCCACTCGGTTTTCTCACCCCGATCTTGCAGAGTCGTACCCATCCACCTCTCCCCCTAGGGCTCGACTCCTCACTCAGCCCACTTGCTCCCCTCCCGCGGCGTGGGGGACTCGCTGCTCCCAGCAGGGCACTGTTTGTACCGTTCCCCCCTTTCTCATGCTTGTCTCCCCTCTCTCTAAATCCCTTCCCACCACCCAGTGTTCTAGGTGTCTTGGGGGCTCGCTTCCCCCGCTGGGCTTGCTCCTCTCAGGTCCCTATGCCAAATACTTGGGGCACCTCGCGCGCATCCCCGGCGCCCCCCTGGGGTCTCCGCTGCTCTCCGACCTCCCCCCACCCCACAACCTCGGGTCCCCTTCTTCCTGCATTTATCAGCCCCCTCGCCGCCTCTCTGTGGGCCTTCCCCCAGTCCCGCGTGTTCTTCGCGCACGCTGCAAGCGGCTCCACTCTCCACTTTCCCGGCACCTCCGGGGTTCGCGTCACCTAGTTTTCCTGTCCTTCTTGAATTTTCTCGCCTCGTGAGCCCTGAGCTCTGGGTCAGCTTTCCCCACTGCCTCTCCTTTCTCAAATGCTGGGGTCTTCGCTTCTCCCAAAGCGGGCTCCCTCTCTGCAGCCCTCACCCCACGAGCCCCCACACTCTAGTCCCGGGTGGAGAGGGAAGTCTTTCTACCCCTCCACCCCCCAATCGCTTCTCTCCTTCTAGGGGACTGCCCCCACGATCACGCATGTTCCCATGGCCCTCTTCTAGAAGCGGTCCACCTCGCTCACTAGCGCCTCGTCTTCAAGGGCCAGATGCCTGGCGGGGAGCGGGTAGGGAGCTCAGTTCTATCCACTTTGAGACCCCCCTCCCGCTTTCCCGGCAACCCCGGGGGTCCTCTTCCTCTAGCCAGTTTCCTCTGCCAGTAATTTCCTCCCCGTGACCCCTGCACTCCGGCGCCCCCTGGGGGCTCCCCTCCAGGGTCCCCGGCCCCTCTGAGCTCACTGTTGCTGTTTTCCACCATTAGCACGCGGGTGACCTCCTTGGCGTAGTAGTCCGCCTCGGGCTCGGGCTCCGGCTCGGCGCTCTCCCCCGCCACCCGGTCGCGGGTGCTGTTGTAAAGGGCCAGCACGGCCTCGGGCAGCGGGCCGGGCGGCACCTCCCCCTGGCTCGGGGGGCTGGCGAGCCGCAGCTTGGACAGGATCTGGCCGCGGATGGCCTCGATGCGCTTTCGCTTCACCAGTTCCATGTCGATGGTCTTGCAGGTGGACAGTCCGGCGGCCGGCCGGCCAGGCGTCAGCACTAGTAGCCACAGCAGCGGCAGCAGCAGCGGCAGCAGCCGCAGCCCGGAGGGCGGCATGGGGGAGGCGGCGCCCCCGGCACTGCCGAGAGCGCGAGCCGGGCTGGGGTGGGAAAAGGGAGGCCCCGCCCCTACAGGGGCTGGGGGTCTCCCGAAGAAAGGTAGGAGGGTCGGGGTGGGGGTGGGGGAGCTGATGCCCTCAGGGAAAACGGAGCGGAGGTGGAGGGGAGGCTCTGATGGGTGGTTTCTCGGTATCCCAAGGAAAAAAACCGAGATGGGCGAGATCTGGTACCAGAGGTGGGTGGTCTTGAGTAGGGGAGTTGAGGAAGGTCTGAGAGTGATCCCGTCTCCCGGATCCCGGAGGAGAAGGGTCCTTGGATGCGCGGGGGCTCAGGAGAGAGGCTGGGGGTGGGGGGAGCGGCGTGCAGCGGGGGTGCGCCCGAGGTCTGGGGTCAAGTCTTCGCGGGAGTTCGGGTTGGCGGCTCCTGAGGGCTGGTCCGGAATGGGGGCGCCTGGGGGGGGGACGCCGCGGAGGGGGCAGGGAGGGAGCAAGCGTCCGAGGCGGTGGTGGAGGCGGTCTGGGGTCCCCGAGTCCTGCCTCCTGGCGGGGCAGCGCCGCGCCAATCGGTCCCCGCGCCTCCGGCTCCCAGCGGCAGCGGAAAAGTCTCAAAACTTTTTTTCCTCTTCTCCCAACCAGCTCGTCCCTCCTCCCGCTCCTCCTCCCCCTCCTCCCCGCAGTGGCGGCGGAGGCGGCGGCGGCGGGGGCGGCGGCGGCTCGTCTCAGACTCTGGGGCCTCGGGCTGCTCCTCGGCCGCTCCTTCCTCCGCTCCCGGCCGAGGCCGGCCCGCGGGCGGCTCCGAGCCGGGGGGGTGCCCCGGAGGGGGCGTCCCCCCTGCCCCCGGCCGGGGGCCTCGCTGTCTGGCGGATCCGCGGCGGGAGGAGGGGGTGGGACGGCCCCGGGGCGCGAAGGGCGGCGGCGGCGGCGGCGGCGGCGGCGGGGACCGGCTGGGGCGGCGGGGGGTTTTGAAGCCGCCCCGGCCCCACCCAGGAAGCGCGCGGGGCGGGGGCGGCCCCCAGGGGGAGGACATGCGGGGGGGGGGGCCGGGCCACCGTCCTCATCTCGCGTGGGCGGGCTCCGAGGGGGGTCCCTTAAGCCCCGGGGGGAGGGGGCGGGCACCCCGGCTCCGCCCCGCGAACGGGGTGCTGCCTCCTGGCGGCCGAGCGCGGCCACAGCGGGCAGGCGGGTTGCGTGTGGCTCTGAGGGCTGCGCGGGGTCACGGAGTGAACGAAGACCTGGCGGGGAGGGCTCACTCAGAGGTTGGGGACACCGGGTCCGGGGGTGGGGGGGGAATCAGAGAACGGGGACCCCAGCGGACAGAGAGTGGGAGGCTGGGGAAGAGGGTCAGCCAGAAGACGGGGTACCAGTGGGGAGAGGGGCACAGAGGCGGGAGAAGCCCCAAGGAGGGGGGGTCCTGAGAGGGGCACCCAGAGCGGGGAGGGGGGCAGAGGCTGAGGCAGAGGATGGGGGAAGTGGGTGTGTCAGAAGGGGGGGGCCTGAAGGAGGGTGTCAGTGGGAGGATAGGGCACAAGACATCTGACCGAAGAAGGAAGTCAGGAAGGCACCCACACCTGTAAGAACTGCTCTCCTTTATTGAGCACTTCCGTGGGCCAAGCAGCCTCTTCTCACCCAGCACCCTGCCGCCCCACACGCTCACTGCCCCCATTTTACAGATGGGCCAACTGGACCTGAGGGGGCAGCCACTGGGCTGGAGGTGCTCACCGGGACAGAAGCGACGGTGGTCGCTGGCCGGGGTCAGACCCGACAGCGTCCAGAGCCCCCGCTTCTGAGCCCTGGGCCATGCGGGCCCTAGACAGGCACGCAGGGCTGGGGACAAGGGCCTGCCCTCGGGGGCACAGTCAGCACTGGACGCCGTAGCGGTCGAAGTGGCGCAGCAGCAGCCCCAGCTCCAGGTGCACGAGGCCGCCGGCCGCCGTGCGCAGGCGATAGCGGTCCGCCCCGCTGTACACGGCGTCCCCGTGCAGCAGCTGGGGGCCGCCACCCACAAAGGCGCGGGCCAGCTGCTCCCGCCAGGGACCCAGGGGCCGCCATGTGGGGCAGTGCAGCTGGTGGCTGCCAGGACTGCTGGGCACGTGGCAAAAGCCGTAGCCCGCAAGCTGACAGCGGCCGAAGCCGTCCTGGGACCACACCTGGAGGTGGAGCCGGGGCCAGCCTGCAGATGGGGAGGGAAGGAGGAAGGAAATTTCAGAGCGACGGAGTAGCTCGGTCTCCCCATCCTGGATCCCCACCTCCCTGTGGATCTCCACAGGCCCGGTCCTCCTGCCTGCTGGGTGTCTGCCGCCGCCCCGGCCTTCTCTCTGGCCGCCTATTCACAAGGGAGCTTTCTGAATCTGTGGTCCTCCCCCGCTGAAAACCCTTCCAGGGCATCCCAGTGCCCTCAGGAGAAGTCCAACCTCGACATTCCAGGCCCTCTGGACCTGGCCTCAGCTGACATCCCTTTCTACGGCCTCCTCTTCCGTGTCCCCAGGTCAGGGCAGCGCAGTCCCGAGGTGAGCGCTTCGGGCCTAGTCCCGGACACCTCCCTTCTTCCCTCACAGTGGCCCACTCTGTGCGCCCTGGGCCCGGGGCCTTCCTTCTTGCCCCGCCAATGCACCGTCCACCTGGCCGCTGGAAGCATCTTTCTCCCGCTTCCCTAGGTTTCTCACGCTCCTTAGAACACGGTTCAGCTCCTCAGCCTGGTAGGCAAAGCCCTTGGAGATCTGGCCCCATTTCACCCTCCTTTCTGTGCCCCTCTGTGCTAGGCCCTGTTCTAGAAGCTGGGGACACAGTGGTGAACGGAGCAGACAAAAATTCCTGACATCCTAGACAACGAATGTAGTAAATAAGCAAATTATAGGGTATGTCAGATGGTGATCACTGCTCTGGAGAAAAATAAAGCTGGGTATGGTGGGGGTGGGGATGCAGTTTTAGAAAGTGGGTGAGCAAGGGAAGCTTCACTGAGAAGGTGACATGTGGGCGAATGCTGAAAGGAGGGAAGGGTGCAGGCCATGTAGACGGCCATCTAGGGAAGAACGCCCCAGGAGAGGGAACAGCCGGTGCAAAGGCCCTGAGGTGGGAGCTGTGGTGTGGGGCCGGCGTGGCTGGAGCGGACTGAGAGAGGGGGAGGGAGAAGAGGGGACAAGCCAGATTCCACGATCCACGATCCACGATGAGGCTTTGGCTTTTACCCCGAGTAAGATGCGGACCGTGGAGGGTTCCGCGTGGAGAAGGAATGTGACCCAACTTGGGTGTTCACAGAGGGACCGACTCTGGGAGCAGGGTAGGAGCACAGGGAAGGGGTTGCTGTAATTGCCCAAGTGAGAGGTGAGGGTGGGCAGACCAGGGTGCCCGGGGAGGGAAGTGGGGGGATTTAGGATACCTCTGAAAGGTAGAGGCAAAGGGATTTCCTGATGGGCAGCATGGGGGGTGAGGAAAGAGGAGGCAAGGATGGGGCCCACACTGGAGGACATGGGGTCTGCAGAGCCGGAGGACGGCCGCCAGGAGGCTCTTTTAAAATTGAAATCTGACTTGTGCGTCACATGTTGTGACTCCCCAGTACCTTCAGGAGATGGCCTCAGCTCCATGGCCCGTCCCCGGTCCCCTGCCACCTCACCCCTGGCCCTCCTCTTATTCACCCTTGATCCTCCAAACGCCCCTGGCTCCCTTTCCCTTTTGGGCCTTTTCACACACAGCTCTCTGCCTAGAACCCGCTTCCATCCCTCGGGCTTATCAGCTCCTACTGGCCCTTCATGGCAAAACTCAAACATCCCCTCCTCCACGAAGCTCTCCCCGAACTCCCTGGCAGTCAGGCATCTCCTCTGGGCTCCTCTACCCTTTAGGATCCCCCGCCCCCATCGCAGACCTGCCCACTCTGAGCTGCCCTCTCTGGGGCCAGCTCTGTCTCTCCCAAGGGGACGGTGAACCCCGTGAGGACAGGGCTGGGGGGGGGAGGTTGCTGTCTCAATCACCAACATTTCCAGGGCATCACCCAACACAGGCGGGGCACAGGGCAGACACTCAGTAAATATCATTTGTATTGTTGAAATACATGACATGTTTACCTAGGCTATTTCCTAGAATCCACTCCTCTCCAGTGATCTAAATTTTCCACGAGAAAAGGTTTTCTGATACCCTTCCTCCCCCGCATACTCGTTTCCCCCGTGAGCAGCTGAGCCGAGCCTGCAGAACAGAAGGGCAACCAGCCTGCCTCTCTCCCTCATAACCCCCTCCCAGCTTCCTCCTGATGGAAGACTCCTGTTTGTCTCTTTGAAAGCCACCTCCCTTCTCTCCCTGGTCCCCCCCTTCCCCTCGTCCCCTGCAGCCCTACACACTCCAGCCAGCAGAGGCCCCAGCTCAGCCTCTCCGGGGCCAGGTCTGGCCAGGAAAGGGACCCAAAGGGCCTAGGGAACAGGGGTGGGACTTGGCTGTTCCAAGTGCTGCTAGGCCCCCTCCCCTCAGCCTGGCCCAGGGCTCATGCCAGGAACCTACCTTGGAGGCCTTTGGTGGCAAAGTGCAGGTCGATGGGGTGGGACCAGTAGGCCATGTCCCCTACTTGGGGGGTGTCCACCTGTGTTTGGCCCTCCCGCACGCCCGACAGGAGCTTCCATGCCGCCCCTGCAGGGAGGGACGGGAAGCGGACATCAGGAAGGGGAGACCACTGGGGTTGGAGGACCCTGTCTCTCCCTGGCAGTGGGGGTCAGGGGTTATAAAGTGTGGACTCACGGGGCGCCTGGGTGGCTCAGTTGTTAGGCGTCTGCCTTCAGCTCAGGTCATGATCCCAGGGTCCTGGGATCGAGCCCCGCATCGGGCTCCCTGCTCAGCGGGAAGCCTGCTTCTCCCTCTCCCCCTCCCCCTGCTTGTGTTCCCTCTCTCGCTGTGTCTCTCTCTGTCAAATAAATAAAATCTTTAAACAACAACAACAACAACAAAGTGTGGACTCAAGAGCCAAATGTCTGGGTTCAAATCCTGGTACTACTTCATCCTGCCTGTGCAATCTCAGGCGAGTTACCGGTCTCTGCCTTGGTCTCCCCTTCTGTAAAATGGGTGCATAAGGACGCA